GGGCTCTATGCGCGCTCTGATTGGCCAGTGTTTTTCGTTAATAATTCAAAAACGAAGCTTCAACCTACATTTTGGTAAAGGAAAAAGTTGTTCAGAGTCACCCCAACAACCCCCCACTTCCGGGTGTTATACTCTTTACGGAACACCCTGTATAACGCCGCGGCGTTTCAAGAACCTGTGCAGCACTGTTATCTAGATGAATCAGATTAGTCGTTGAACGATAATACATTTATGCATGTGGATATTTTTCAGAACGTACCTCGTTAAATGCAAATATTCGAATGTTTCAAAGGTGATGTGGTATTCCTTATGAGCAATGTCTATTAAGCACACATTTGACGAAATGAACTTTTATCGTAAATTACCACTAAAAACAGACGAGCCATAGTTAAGAAAGCTGAATAGAAGATATACTACTTCTTCTTCCTTCCGAACGGGGTGGATGTTCTTTTATTTATAAAAAATATTTCGAAACAGTAGTTCACGGAGCATTGGCTGCGAGGTATTAAAACAAGTGGGTCGGCACTGGTTGGCGCTCATTCCCTTTCGACGAGACGTAATGCAACACCAGTGTTCCTCTTGTCTTTCAGCCAAATTGTCTTCCGTTTAGCTTTCAGAGAAGTTCCTTTCTCGATTGGAACGGTATGAACGCGCATTCCTCCGATGCTTCTTTTTTTTTTTTTTTGATGACCTTGCATGAAATTGTAATATTCCTATCATTTGTTTACTTATTTGTTAAATGCTCCCCATTTGTACTATGCACGTATCTGTAGATAAGCGTTAAAGATAATTCCGCAAATATCATTGATGCTTTTGCAAAATATATGTATATTGTCTCTTACAAATATGTGAATGGACTAACTTAGAATGGGCATAGTTCCTAATTTATAAACTTGCCGTAAGCGGTGAATTAAAATTTATAATTCCGTGAGCAGGAAATTGATTGTTTGATTTATTATCCTGTAGCTAGTAAATTAAGTTTAAGCTAATAAGCTAATTTTACCTGTTTTCGGTATATTTCACGTGGCTATTAAAAACACATCCAGCATTTTCTAGCCGATTATATTTATAACATTTAATTTCAAGTAATTATAATTTTTATCGTTGCCACGTTTTCTCCTCTCTTACACCAAGATCGTAATTTTTTTATGAAAGGGAACTGCACTTTTACAATTAATAAATTTTTAAACAACCTTTGTCCCACTAGTTTTTATCTTCAAAAAT